GAAAAGAGTTTTGGAGTATTTAAAACATACTTAAGAACTATTGCTTTGCATTATAACTAATATTCAAAAGTATTGGAAGAATATAGTGATGCAAATTGAATCACCAGGTGATCTTAGGCATATAAATATGCCTAGAAAGCTAATTATGCCCGCATTTAAGCTTAGTTTGAAGTCAATATGTGTTATATTATAGTTTTATTGAGTCTTTTGGTTGTCTATGAGCTAACCAACATGATTAGTTGTGTAGGTGAGCTTAATCGGAGAAATGAGCAAGAAAATGGGCAACGGGAAACACAAAAGATTCAAAGGCAAAAAGAAGCAAGGAAGAAAGAGGAAGAAAAGAATACCAAGGCAATGTTGTATCCTCTCCGCGTCGTGGATAGGGGGTCTTAAATAAATTCACGAGAGTTGATATTAGGTAGAGCCCTGCGTGTACTCTCCGCGTCGCGCAGAAGGGTTGTTGTTTTATTCGCGAAAGTTGATTTTTAGGCAGGACACTCCGTGGAGTGTCTGCGTCGCGGAAGAGGCTAATGTGCCTGGAATAAAAATTTCAAAGCCTCTCCACGTTGCGCCTCGTACTCCTAGTTTTGGCCATTTCGACTTTAGTATAAATAGGTCATTATTTATTTTATTAAAACATATTTTTCTGGGTTTTGAAGAACGACGACTTAGGAGAACGTTTTCCCATTTTTAGGGTTCTTTCCTAAACTCTTTTCCTTTCGATCTCTTTATGCTTATTGAACATTGCTTGATTGTATCTTGGATTATGAGTAGCTAAATACCCTAGTTCTAAGGCTGTGGCTACATGATGATTGTACTCTATTAAGTTTTCATTGGGTTAATGTCAATTATCATATGAATCTTTCTTATGTTCTTGCTTTTCATATTTCGTGACTGATCACCATTGAAATAAATACATTGTCTAAATTGAACTCGGGAGAGGAATAAGAGGATAGAACGTGGAACATAAGGAACATGATTAATTCTATATAATTAGGGTTAATTTGTATCTATGATAGGGATATACCTAGAAACCATGCTTGGGTCACTATACAGGAAGAAATCATAATGCTCGGTACTTATTCCATCCTATCCCCGCTCAATGATGTAGTTAGGGTGTTATTTATCGTAGGCGATTAGAGGTCGGAAAACCATGATCATACATTTAACCCTGTGATTCATTGATTCGATAGTTGATAATTACCTATACAAATGATATTGATTGGATGAATCCTGATAAAAGCTGCAGCCCTGGACTTTACCCAATCACTGTTTTTAAACTCTTGAAATTGAATCGTGTTTGTTACATTTTGTTGAATTCTTAGAATTAGGAACTAAATCACTTTTGAAATCTTGATAACACTTGTGCTTAGCTGAAAGTTAGAGAAATTGAGTGATTCTAAGCGTAAGTCCCTGTGGGTACGATACCCGGCTCTTAAAAAGAGCCACTTTAATACTTGAACGACCATATGCACTTGCGTGTGCGATTTGGACGCAACACCAGGTTAAATGAAGTAAAATCCACGAGTGGATATGTATTTACTCTTGGTGGAGGAGCACTCTCTTGGAAATCTTCCAAACAGAAATGTATTGCTTGCTTTACTATGAAATCTGAGTTTATCACTCTAGATAAGGTCGGTGAAGAAGTTGAATGACTCCGAAATTTCTTGAAAGATTTTGGGCCCAAACCTTTTGCTCATGTATGCATACATTGTGAGAGTTAATTTGCAATAGGTAGGGCATGGAGCATGATGTATAACGAAAAGCCTCGTCATATATGACGTAGACATAATATCGTTAGAGAACTACTCTCTAGTGGAATTATCATAATTGACTATGTAAAGTCAAAGGATAATGTGTCGGATCCACTTACAAAAGGCCTAACTAGAGAGGGAGTTGATAGATTATCAAAGGGAATGGGACTATGGCCGAGAACAAGTAACTCTACCTAGAAGACTGGAGATCCCAAGATCTAGGTTCAAGGAGATCAAACAAAGTCATTGATGACGGTTCAACATTGTCAAAATATTTTTTATGGTCCATTCTCATGATAAGACAATGTTCAGTAACAAGGATAAAGGCATTAGGACTTTTTAATGGTTTCTAAGTTTGATACAGAGTATATCAAATAGTGTATCTACGGGATAACACATTTAGAAATCACCTATGTAAGTGTGAAGTGTAAGCCGCTACAAGGAGAATTCGGAAAGGCCAGTTCTCTACGCACTTATAAACCAAGACGTGTTCATGGCTGAAACGAACAAAACAATGAGAACCAAAAGCAGTTCAAGGGTTGATTGTGTGATTTATGTTGTCTAGGTATACACCAAAGCTCGAAGGTTCAAAGATATCAAATCTACCGATTGACCGAGTATATCCATATATGTTCACTATGGAAAGTTCAAAAGGGAAACCCACTTATCCAGATGCAATCAATCGTTACTTACGAATCACACAATTTTTCATGCATATGTTTTAACAATAGTCATTCCCTATTCATGTGGGGGATTGTTGAGTTTTAAAGGTGTGAACAGGAAATAAATGGTTGTGACCATTGGAAAGGTTATGCCTTTTCCAAAGTGTTGTGACCTTTCTGAAAGGTTGTCTTCTTTCCAAAGAGTTGTGACCTTTACCCTTTGTTGGCTATAAATAGAGAGGCTTTCTCTCATTTTTCTGCATCGAATTCTTCCCTTCTCTTGCATACATTTCATACAAAATAAAATCGATCGATCGTGTCTGTGTGTGTGATTCGTTGCTGTCATTTTGAGTTCGTTGAAATTATTGAAGTTTTGAGGTACCACTACTTCTTTAATGGTTAATCCATTTTATTTTGGGAGGAATTAATCTACAACCTCAGGTACTTGAGGGGATTAAATTTCTTAAGGACACAGTGAAATCTGTGGACTGGGATAGTTCTTTGTTTTTTCTTTTCATCTTTTATTATTTCTGGTTTGCTAATCTGAATACATGAGATAAGATTTCTTTGCTATACATCAAGAAAATACTTACTTTACGTATAAGAAAATTCCAGGAAGAAATAAAAATAGCAGATTACCTATAATGTAAATCTGGTAAAATGCTGAATGAGATTGCAAGAAGGAGCAAGGAAGCTATACATGGTCAGTCTACAAGTTTAATAAAAGAGAGAAAGAGTACAAGACGGTAACAATTTACAAGCATTTAAAGATATTATCTATGGGTAGCCTAGTATTTGGTGAATCTCTCAACACAAACACACAGTTTGGGCCAAAAATACTAAAATTTCTAACACGTATGATTCTTTAAAATTCACGTGTAGATACAAGTTCTGTTACAAAAACATAATGTGTTTGTGGTGAAAAAGAATTTCACGCATGAATGGATCGAATTCCAGGGGGTCCATCAGTCTTGAAAGAACAAGATACTCTGCCCTATAGGCAAAAGTACTTGAAACTTAAATATGTTGCCCGTCAAATATAAGTTTTAGCCTTTTTCCATGAGACTGACCGTCAAAATATTTCAAGACATTAAACCTGCTCAATTTACCACAAGTTCTGCCTTATAGGCAAACTTTAGAACTTATGCTTGATTGACAACATAAATTGATCTTCCTAGCAAATCTTTTTAAGTTAAAATCATTTTTAAAGATTTTACTAGAGTTTTTGGCTAAAATCATTTCGGAACTATGACTTAAATCTTAAGTACATCCTTGTGTTATATAAGTGAAAAAAAAAACATTCTTACACTATTTTAAAAGTTGCAAGATTCATCCTTCTGTCTATTTTTTTTAAGAATGTGCGAAGTCGAATGAATATATGTACACATGATTAAGTTTGTCAAATTGGGTGACTTTTCTAATTTTTAGAAATTGAGGGTTTAAATCATATTCCGACAAAATATATGCAAATTCTAAATATTCTTTGTAAAAAGTATGGTCAAATACAACTCTAACTTCAAAAAATTTTCAAATAAAGTAATTATTCCTTTTATTTTCATAACTAAATGCCTACGTAATTTCACTAAATTTCCAGCATTTTTGTACATTATATAAAATGTAAATTGCATTATATGTAACGTACCTAAATATTTTATTAAAGAGAATCTCTAAATAGTTGGGCGTAATATTTTTAAAATGAATTTTTTTACACAACCTTTCTAACCATTGAAATCTACCGTGTAAATATTTTCAAGACGTATGTATTGTTGCAAGTCAATTTACTTGATGATGCAAAAAAAAAACAAAAAAACTAACAACACACATAATTTAAATTCTGAGAATGAAAGATCCATTTTCTATCCATATCCTTATTCTTTTTAGGTAGCTTTGATCTTCTCGTCATGGCTAAGATATGACCAAATTAAAAAATAAAATAAAATTTATTGGTTCAATCAGTTTCTTAATAAAAATAAACTGAAGGATGATTTTTGCTTACTTAGATAATATAAGGATGTACATTAGATTTGAGTGATATTTAAGGGATGATTTTAGCCAAAAAAAATACACGGATTTTACTAAGCGGAGATAAATATTTAAAGACCTAACACTTTGAGGGACACTTGGTGTAATGTCCTTTATTTATTCGTGTTGGATTCTCTATTATTGCTAGACTTGTCGCGTCGTAGTCATGGTCCCATTTGCTCAGAAAATTAGCTGATGCGGTGATTTCGGCCTCCTTATTATTACTACATTTTATAGTGACATTTTTTTTTTTTTTTTACATAATGTAGTGATATAATGTATTTTAATAGCAAACATACAAGATACACATATTTGTGTATTTAAAATTTTTAGCCGTGAGTATTCTTTCAATAGAAACAACAATAAATATCTCACATACATATATGTTAATAATTCCCACATATCACCTTATATGGACTTGGACATTCCTTTTCTCGTAAACTAGCTTTTAGGGTCGAGTTGGACCCAAAATCTATTTTTGATATTCTTGTCTTTTTGCTCAACTTGTCTTCACATATATACACACTTTGAGCCACTTTAAAGCTATCTACAATAATTCATCTCTTATGCTACTTTTTAGGATTGGAAATACCAAAATCAGATTGCAAATTTCTAAGTTGGTTTCACTTGTTATTCTGTAAGTAAACTTCTTCATGACTCCCTTTTTCGTTTTCCTTTAAACAATTAATTACTACAATTAAATGTTTTCCTTCTCAAAATAATCTTGTTTTTCCTTCAATTTAATATATATATATAACTATTCTCTTTTCTTTTACTTTTTCACTAATTTGATAATGATTGTTATTGACAAATTTAGTCATAATATGGAAACTCACTCAGTTTATTAGTTTTTGAATCAATTTATCATTCGTTATTGTTATTTTAAGGTTATGATCAGTTTCTTTACTAGTAAAAGATGCATGGTGTTAAAGGACAACAAGTTTGAATAAGAAAATAATACAAGTACGAATAATAATTAATGAAAAATGAATGCAAAAATATTATTTTTATGGCTTAATTTTTAGCTCACTTGGCATTCCAGGAGGGAATGAATTTTAATAGGAAACAATTTATATATAATTCAAGAAGATAATCAGTTCTCTCATAATTTATAATTTAATTAGGAAAGTCGTAAAACATGGATTGTTAAGTATAGTTTCAAATATTATAACAAACCTCTCTACTCTTATTATTGTCATGAAACTATTTGTTAATTTTATTTTAACTAGTTCTAGGAACGTGTTTTGCACGTTTGTCTGCTATTACTATATACAATTTATATAGTGGGTGAAAGAGTTATGGTTCTTTCGAAGCTAAAACAACTTTAAACACAATAAGTTAACTAAAATACATCCTCAAAAAGCAATTCAAAAAAAATGAAGACACTCAACCAATATGTATCAAGAAGAATTGTTTTTGCCTTTATATATTATAGATCTTGAAACAAAAAATATTCTAAAGTTACTTTCACAATTATCTCCTATAAATTCAAAGTGTTTAAATAGAGAAATGCGGAGAGAATAAAAAAATAATTACAATCTACAGATATATAAAATCTTTCATTTCATTTCTTATAATTTTCTCTTACTTTTTTCACTCTTCAGAGCGAGGTATTAGAGGCACGTGATGTATCATAGAAATATAATGCCAATGGAGTTCGACTAATACTATAAACTTATATAATCAAATTATATAGCTTTTTTTCTATGTTTTAGTAACAGTTATACATAAACTTAGAAAGAGGAAATTTTAACAGACTCACAATATTTTTTAATCCATGATTACTTTTGTTAATACAAAATTATTTAAATTAACATACTATAAAATATGTTGCTAGTGTAATTGTAAAATATAAGTATTGGTTATTGTAAGAATAGTGTTGACCCTTTTGTTTGTAAATGTATAAAATGATATGGAAAAATTGAGCAAAGTCTTATAATGTATTCACACTATTCAAATAAAATAACGATAGTTTCAAAGAATAATTTGCTTTAACTTCTTAATTTTTTTTCTTTGAATGATGCATATGACTGGATAAAATCATAAGTACGTGTTTTGTCTATATATCAATCTCTTGTTTGTAAACATTATAAGAAGAAAAAAGAATTCACTTGGAGTTATCATAAGTAAGAACAATTAAAATATCACTGTTATGAAGATAGCTACTTTAATCAGAAACGATTGAGGCAAACAAAATGTTCCGGGAGATTCAACATGATTAGCTTATCTTCAAAATAGTTAATAATAAATATAAATTGGGATAATTAATTTTATTATATTTATATCCTAAAGATAAAAAAAATGAAAAATACAAAAGTATAATAACCAATTACAAAGTTATATTTGAAAATTTAAAAAGCTGGAGATATGAAAAATAAAAATTCACTTACAATTTTGTATTTGATGAACTTCCATCTTGTAACCATGCCAATTCACATATTTCTCAACAAAAAAAAGATAAATGTATATGAATAAAATTATAAAGAACACAAATATAAGAATTAGTAAGGATTCTTACAATTACAAATTGATAATCATTTTTTTACAAATGGTGTATATCATTGTTTTCAAAAACGTTTTTGGGGCGAGTCTGGGGGCGGGGCGTACTAAAAACGCTCTCAGGCATAAATTAAAGACGTAGATCCATAAGGTGTAAGTCCTAAAATTTGAGGCGTAAGCTCCAAGCATAAACACGTAAGTCCTGGGCATAGAAACGTAGGCCCAGGAGTTTTTAATTTATTTTTTAAAACTTTTTGCTTCAAATCATATTTTTATTATTGGTGTAATGATATTTCTCAAATAATAATTATAATACTCTTTTTCTTCATTATTGATTATTAATAATTATCTCAAATAAAAATCATAAATCATGGAAATGTTTACTTTTGCTTATTGTATTAGTAATAAAACTATAAAATTGAATATACATCAGACTACGTCCCATAGATCCATGGGACTTACACCCCGTGTCTCGGGGCATACGCTTTGCCCTGTACTGTATAAAACGCCTCACCTCACGCGCCCGCCTTTTAAAACACTGGTGCATATTAATCTACAGAAAGCAAGATGATCACAAATTTGGATGAAAGAAGGGAATATATATAATGTTGTTGGTGAGTGTCTTTGATAGACTCTTCATTACCCCCACTTATTATAAATTAAAATTAAAAGTTATTTTTTGACTCTTCATTATCCACATTTAATTTGGTACATGAATAACTTCCTCAAGCATTTACTACACAAAACTAATAGGCGTATTTAGTCCATTTTCTGATTACATTTGTTGAATTTAAGTTCATATTTTATTAGTTAGTAATGCAGTAATTAAAAGGGTATGCTCACTCTTTTTTGATTAAAAATTATATGAGTAGAAAAACGATGAGATAGAAAATTTAATATCCCAAAGAATTTGAATCATTGTGTCTAGATGCATGAATTTAAATAAAATTATTATTTAATATTAAATTAATTATATATTACTCCATTTAATTTAGTTAAGGGATAGAATAAGGGCAGAATGGTAATTCAACTTTTAAGTTAGGAACTTTTCACTTATAATAATAATATGATATGATGATGATGATGATATGATAATAACTATGGTTAAATCTTAAATAAATTGGAGTCAACTATATGAATTCACTGACCATGTTACTCCATTCAAACTAATCTCAATATAAAGAAAATAAAGATAAAAATTATAATGACAACTTGTCCATTATTTGGTTATGAATATACTAAATACGCTTCTTTTGAGCCAATGGTCCATCGGAAACAACATTTCTACCCCACGAAGGTAGAGGTGTGGTCTGTGTACATCCTATCCTCCTAGATTCCACTTGTGAAATTACACTGGATATGTGATAATGATACTAAACACAATAAGGAAAATTTTGTGTCATATTTGAAACCACAAGAGAGTTATGTATTACAAATCAAAACCTCAAGGGAAGTTTGTGAACTTTTCCATAACATGAAATGATGCAGAAGGTGTTGAAAGACATAGATATAATATAATAATGTTGCTCTTAATTGATAAAACTAATCTTTCCTGATTTTGGTGAACTTGCAGATATTTTCTACTAATTTATATGGAGATGGCACATAATGATATTGAGGATATGTTGGATCATCTAAAAAGGATCAAGAGTGGAGGTGATTCAAACAGTGTCAAGATTGATGAAATTGAGATACTTGAAGTGGAGCTAAGATTTTTGAGAACCTTTATCAAGTACAATCATGTTCTTTTGCCTGATTCCTTAGACATCATAAAAAATAAGTCCAAATTGATTGCGGAAATGATTCACTCTGTTTTTGGTGGAATTCCATATGGAAGCAAAACTAACTTTAATGTGGAAAGTCTAGTGTTGCAGTTGCTGGAATTCATTGAAGGTAATACTGGTTTTATAAGGTACAATAATGAATTGAATGATTCCTATCTTTCAGAATACATGGATTGCCTCGGCAATTTTCTTAATGATGTACTGAAGTACCTGGGATTGCATATGTCTTACCCTTATTTAGCAGATGAACATATCCTTAAGTTGAAGCGATCTTCAAAGCAAGTGCAAATCATTCAAAAGAAAATGAGAGGATTGCATATGTCTTACCCTTATTTAGTAGATGAACATATCCTTAAGTTGAAGCGATCTTCAAAGCAAGTGCAAATCATTCAAAAGAAAATGAGATTTTTGAGATACTTATATGTCACAGAGATAAAGAATTACGTTGACCATGAGAAGCTGGAAGGTCTGGAGACCCGAATTCAGTTCATAGCTGACAATGTGGGACAATTCTGTTATGATCTTTGGGTTTATAAGGATAAAAATGATACAGATTCAGATTCAAATGAAGTTGATATAGATGAGGATGAGGACAAAGATGATCTCTGGTATAAACCTCCTTATGTATTATCCCTGATTGTGCTAGTGGAGCTGCAAATAAAGAAGATTTTTCTCGGTGAACTAAAGACTTCAAAATTTACTCAAGCAAGAACTTTCAAGGACAAAACATTACCAAAAGGATTTTCACATCATCTCCACAGTATGCTGGTGAATCTCAGAAACAAAAAGCTTGAGAACTTCCCTAATACTGTCTCTGCTCAAAATATTGATGTGGCAATAGAGTTCTTGTCTTTTTTTCTTGTGGATGTGTCAAATAGTGTTTTTTATGGTAAAAAGTTGAATGAGGTCTTGGAAAAGGTTGGAGCTATAGCGGGTGATATTCTTTATGTAATTCAAAAGCTTCTTCCTAGCTCTATAAACAAAGATGACACTAGCAAAGTAGATGTCTGCACAATACATATATTGGAGAAAACTAAAGATCTAGTGGAGAGGTACTACAAATCCTTAAAATTCACTTCATCTCAGTTTCCCACGGTTTGTGGATTGAGCTTTCTGGATTCTCTTTTGCGGAAATTGAATAAGATATTGAAATCTGAATCAGGTTTAGATTTCATGATTAAAACTCGTAGTGGTATCATAGAGAAAGAGTTGTCGTTGCTTATATCCATTTTAGAGAAGGAGTTATCATCTCTATCATCTATAATCAGAGATGTCGCAAAGGTGCACCATGAACATGAAATTCTCAAAGATCTTCAGAGTCGTACTATCAATTTGGCATATGAAGCTGAAGTTGCCATTGACTCTGTTCTTGCTCAGTGTAATGCTTTTTGGCATATTTTTTGCTCTCTTCCTACAATTGTAAAAGAGATCAAACATATTAGAGCAGAGGTTTCCAAGATGTGGTCAGAGGACTTAGCTTATAAGTCATGCTATGTGGTAGATCCATCTAATCATCTGCCAACACAACGTAACAATCTTGTGAATGATGAGGAGATAATTGGCTTTGAAGATGAAGCAGAAAAAATAGTTCAATATCTGATTCGAGGTACAAATGAGTTAGATGTCATTCCGATTGTAGGTATGGGGGGACAAGGGAAAACAACCATAGCTAGAAAAGTGTACAAGAGTGACATGGTTGTTTTTCACTTTGATCGTCTAGCATGGTGTTGCATTTCCCAGACATATAATCAGATAGAGCTATTAAAACAGATCTACCATCAAGTTCCCAGTTACGAGGACAATGTCTGTAAGGACGATGAACTTGCTGACATGTTGAGGAAAAGATTAATGGGCAGGAGGTATCTTATTGTCTTGGATGATATGTGGAGTGTTAAGGCATGGGATGATTTAAGATTCTCTTTCCCAAATGATGAAAACAGAAGTAGAATAATTGTAACAACCCGACTTGAGAATGTGGCTAGGCAGATCAAGTACCATACTGAACCTCATTTCCTTCCATTCCTCACACCAGAAGAAAGCTGTGAATTATTATGGAAAAAAGTGTTCCAAAATGAAGGTCCCCGCCCTGAACTATACGATGTGAGTCTAGCAGTTGCAGAAAGGTGCAAGGGACTGCCTCTGGTGATTGTCTTGGTTGCTGGAATTATCAAAAGGAAGAAAACGGACGCCTCTTGGTGGCATGAGGTTAACAATTCTCTGCTTTCCTATCTTGGCGAGTCTGAAGAATATAGTTTTTCGACTATGCAGCTAAGTTATGATAACTTACCAGATTATTTAAGACCTTGTCTTCTTTACATGGGGATGTTCCAGGAGGATGCAAGAATTCCTGTGTCTAAATTGATACGTTTATGGATTGCTGAAGGCTTCGTGCAGAATATTGAATCTGGGAGATTGGAAGAGGCAGCAGAAGGTTACTTGATGGATCTCATTAGCAGTAATGTGGTAATGATTTCAAAGAGAAGATATAGCGGTAAAGTCATATACTGCCAGGTTCATGATATGGTGCTTCACTTTTGCTTGGAGAGGAGTAGAGAAGAAAAGTTTATGCTGGCGGTGAAGAGAAATCGTAGCCAATTTAAACCTTCTGATTGGAACGAAAATAGACTGAGCTTCAAATCCACTTGTGATATATCCGAGTATGACCAGCTGGGATACAAAACACAGAAGCCCTTCCATCAACATTTGAGGTCACTGATAATAATCAATGATTTACATTGGAATCCCTTCTCTCAGATTAGTAAATTGGGACTCCTTAAGGTCTTGGATTTGAGTTCCAATAGAGTGGATCATTTGTCGTTGGCTACATTGAATCCACTAATTCACCTTAAGTACCTCTCAGTTTCCATATTTGAATTCGATTTCCATCCAGAATCACATATGCGCCATCTAGAAACTATCATAGTGAATGGAAATGGTCGTCCTGTATTGTTGCCAGCAACATTTTGGAAAATGGAAAGGTTAAGGCATATTGAGTGTTATGCTTCTTTTGATTTGAAAAATAATAAGCAGTGGATCTTTAAAGAATCCTGTAAATTGGAAAATTTGAGGAAATTAAGTAAAGTTGAATTTCAAATTGATGATGCTGATTGCATGGATGTGTTGTTACAGAAATGTCCTAATCTTCAAGAACTTGGGATTAGTATTTTTAGCTATGAATGGGATTCTGCTGATATTTGTACTTCCGGTCCCAATTTGGAGATTCTTAGCCAGCTTCAATTACTTAACCTTTGCTTTCGTGGTGGCAACATTATTGTAACCGAATTACACCTGCCTTCAAATCTAAAGGAGTTGACACTTGAAGTGCCTCATCTATTAAACGTGGGATCCTTGATTGCGGGACTACCATGTCTGGAGTATCTCCAATTGATGGATTGGAGACGTGAGTCGGGAGAGTTGTGTTTCGGAGATATCACATTTAATAAGCTTAAGTTCTTGAAACTGGTGGAGTTAAATATCTCAAGGTGGGAAGCCTCAGAGGCATCTTTTCCCCAGCTTGAGACACTTGTTATAAAAAGGTGTTACCAGCTTGAGGAGATCCCCCTTAGCATTGCAGATATTCCAACACTGGAACAAATTAAGTTGATTGCATGCTATAATAAATCTCTGAAGGCTTCAGCTGTGAAAATTAAGGAAGAAGTTAGAGATATACAGGGAAGCGACCATCTTAATCTCATTATCGAAGTAAGTAGAAACAAATTCCTATGTGCTTTTTTTTGAGTATCCACGTGCATCTAATTTGCAAACGATATGTTTCAATACAGGATTGAGTCAAGTGTTTGGCACAACAAACAACATGGTATCGCAATATTCTATGAAAAGACTCATCTCAGCCAAACAAATCATAACCTTAGACTGGTTAAATTTGAAGTTATCTTGGAAGCTTTTATTTGGAATAAGGTACAACAAATACTTCTTTTAATTACTAGCGGAATAAAAATAATCTTTGGGACTCTGCATTGCAATAACTAAAGATTTGCGATCCCACTGAATTGCATACCAGCATCTTGGTAATTAAAGAATTTGCTAGTCATACTTATAAATGTTCTGAGTAGATCCAATATAGATTTAACTTTTTTTATTTATAAGTATTGTCTTAGTTGCTTAGTTCATCTGTCCATCAGCTGATTAATTTGCTAATTAGTACTTGCAGTGTTAGCAAGATCAGAAGCTAATAAATTTGTTCTTTCCATTCATGGATTATTAAGACACTGCAATTTGTGAACTATAACATATAATTTAGTATGACAGGAAATGAAATAAGAGATGGAAAATGATTAAACTGAAAACTGTAAGATGATGCTGATTGATTAATTTGTTCTGAGAAAATGAGCAGCAAAGACAATTATGGCCAAACATGCAAAGTGAAAAAAGTGATAACTAAAGAATAAAGATCAGATAGCCTTTCTTAGAATAAAAAAATTCTAAGCATAGGCATCAGATTTTTGATGGCGATAAGCTTTCCGGCCTTATAAAAAGCCAACTTCTCCTTGATTTCCTCATCCTTGAGCGTGAAATCTCCCAGAGTATAGTATGTGCTAGTCACTTAAGAGATGGAACCACCATCATCTGACTGGAGCATCAAACACGTGTAGTCTTGATTGGAGCGCAATAAGAAAGAAATGTCATATATAGCTTAGGGCTTCTCACACACTCAGTTATTTGATTACTCATTTAATTAGTGACGGCTTTTCATAGATGTAACATCCTTCCTATTGCATTGCTCCCTGTATTATTCACATTGTTCCTAATGTCAATGTGAGGTTTAGTTTTGTTTGGCAAACAAATCAAGGTTAATGAAACAAGAGGAGGATCCAGAAAGCCATAATGACTTTGTTTTATTTCATTGTTGTGTTCGATAGAGAGAAAGTTATGCATGCATGTAAAATGTGCTTTTATGCTGTATCCATTTGCTTAATTACCATTTTAATCAAACATTCCAACATACACTTTAGAGACATTTTAAAAGTTTTATGCATTAGAAATTCTTGTATTGAGACTTGGTAAAAAGAAATGTGAAGGTCATTTGATTATTATGTCGTTCATCACAATAAGCTCTTCCTTTTCAAATGCTGCAAGTTTTCATTTTCCTGGCCATAAAAGAGGACAAACAGTATCATCATCGTTGGTGCAAAAACGTTTCTTCATGATCTTCCTGAGCTTGACAATGTCTTTTCACCACAAGATCACTTTTTGGAGCATCGGAAACATGTTCCTTGTTGGCGGTAGTACATGTGGAATTCTTAAGTTTTTAATTGTAAAATTATGCAAGCTGGTGATATATTATTTATAGAAGCATTTAAAAGACTATTCGACTTGAATCCATGAAATTGTGAAATTCTGTTATGTAGGTGAATGATGAAAAGCAGCTACCCTTTTAGTCGTCTCCTCTACCACCTATCATTGTATATGCAGCAATTACTTGGATATATGAGATTTGTCATTGCTCATTTATGATTTCATTCAGAGCAACCTACTTCATCCCTCAGCCAGGGAGATGACCTTCCTTTACAGTCTACTCACCAAATTTTGTGTGCGCTTACACTGTATAATCATCAATCTTTCACAAGCAAGGAAATCTTGTAGATACAGAAAGAATCAACAGAAGCCTACAAATACTTCAAAGTAGTCACCCTGCTTTTAGCATCTTTGGATGACCCCAGGGCCCAACTAAGTGACAAAGCAATAGACTTGGCTCTGGAAGCAAGAAGCTTGATTAGTAAATTCTTAAATCTTAGTCCTTTTCTCTAGTTTGTTTCCGTATTGACCCATTCTGACTCACCATTGGTGTATGGCAGTGGGGTTTTGAAGAAGATATATTTTGCAATGATTTTGGTGTTGTTTGTGAACTTGTTGGGACGAAATCTTTTACTTATTTTTGTATCATATGTGTTACCTAAGCATTCAGTAAGAAGCCTGACATTAGTAGATGCAAATAACTTTGGTACTGTTAGATCACCCTGCATTTGGCATTTCCTATACTACAAGCAGCGCGTGTTTTTGGATATAGTTCGAGTTCCAAGCAACTTGTTTCAATGCAGGGAATTTGTCCCAAGCCTATTAGAATTTTGGCTCTGTTTGGAGAATCTGGTCAAACGGCCTGTTTGTTGGTGCAAGTACCAGAATTCATTCTTCTGTATTCTTTATGCGCAACCCATCCCAAATCACCATGAATTCATTTTTCATTTTGCGCATTGGCTCATCTTCTTCTCCAGGATTTTCCCTTCATCCCAGCATACTATCTACATCTCTTTTTCACGTCGACCTAGATATTAATCTGTTAAGGATACTTTCTTGAAAAGATGGAGAATGACGTAAGGATTTTCGGACGTATATTTATATTAACTAGAAACTTGAATCTTGTGCTACTTCCAACTTCCAAGAATGAAGTTTACAAATGGTAAATTCCGCGGCCTTATAATTGATGGTAATTAAACTACATTTTGATAGCAAAAGGAATGAACTTTAATTAATACATTGACAAGTATCAAGGACATTACAACATACATATGTCCAACTTAACCAAATTTGATTTTACAAGAATTATTTAGCTAGGATGCAGAATACATACATATGTCCAACTTAACCAAATTTGATTTTACAAGAATTATTTAGCTAGGATGCAGCATAGACTAAAAGTACCAAAAGGCCAAATCAGATCGATTCATCAGCAATTCTTTACACCACCTTTACGACATTGATGTCATCGCAACTGCTTGTTCGTTGCTTGCTTGAATTTCTTTGAGGAACAAAATGATTGTTCCCCACTCATCCCGCCTTTTCCTTTTACTTCTTTTTCTTTTCCATTTCAGTTTGTTTATGCTTGAAATATCTCTATCTTTGTACCACTCTGTTCCAACACAATAAAAATATAACATTAAGCACATTGTGATATACAATACTCAAAAGACATTAAAATTAAGCACTAAATGTGAGACAAATAATGGTGAATATATGTACTTTTGGTGAACATCAAGTATCCTAAATGAAGAATCTTTTTTCTTTTGCATTTATTTCAGAAAACTTTTAGCTATGAACTTTATGGTTTTTCCGAGCAGAAAATCAATTAATCCAAACACAAACAATGAGTAAAAATTGAATGCTTTGATAATTTCCTTATTTCCAGGCATGTCACATTTAATTGTAATCACAGAATAATGCAACATCGATCTTACTTCAAATTTAAGAATGTCTAATACAAATTCATACCACCATTTACAACATAATCTTCCTCTAGTAGTCTTGGGGATCTGAAATGAGAACTGATCCAGCTTTGCACTTTGTGTTGCATCTTCCGGATGTTGCTCCAAGTACCTGCGAAGAAAGACTATTAAGCAACACCACAACATAAAATGCAAATGATGTACATATTCCCTATTATCACTGCACGCAATTTAGACCAATCAAAGAAAGAATTAGGAAAAGAAACACATTCCGAAAATCAGGTTTAACTTTATAATATGAACATACTTTTCAACTTCAATTTTGGAACGAAGCTGCTGATAAGATGGCGAATTATAATACCTGTAAATCATGAAAAGAAAAAAATTAAAAACTACGACATTTATTTTGCACATTAGTGCCAAGGGCCCTAGCTTACAAGGAAAGCATCAATAATTGTTCTACGTATTAACAGTAAAATGAATAGTGAAAAAGATGCAAGACATACACATCAGCAATTCTGGTGTTTCTTTTTGTTCTGAATTTTATAACACGTTCCCACCCTGGGGGAGGCTGAGGAATATTAGGCGTATCAATTGCCCACTTGAGTCCGCTTTCATCTTCAGTGAGGTCAGGTGGATCGTCACATTTTTTATTAGAATGCCATTCACGAGTTGTTTCACAATAGAAGGGCCATTCCAAAATGTGTTCCCTTATTTCTTCATACTTCTCCTTTGTAGGTATGTACCTCCATTTGAAACATCTTGCACACTCCACAACCAATGCCACTGGAGTAGTTGGAGGCTTCATATTGTTTACAGGTTCAACACCATGACTAACATTTTGATCCATACAGCCAACTCTTAATGGAATGGGACAATCTGATGAAACCAAATACAACTTGTCTTATTAGATAACTCCAGTAACATGAGTAAGTACAATAGAAAAAATGTGTTGATCCGATTTAACCATTGATGTTGATCGATATGTGCTCATCTTAAAAGCAAAACCTATTGTTTGGATATACATATTTAAGACCTAATCGATTGAAAGATAACACCTTATAATAGTTAGGGAAAATCTTGCATTTAATGTCATCAAGAGAAGATGAAACAATCTTTGCATCTAGATTATTTTTGGCTAGTATAAGGAAGGAGAAGTAAATCTACTCAAACGTACACATTCTCAAAACCTAATAACACACTCATGACTGTTGTTGAACTGTGTTTCTAAGATAATTAGAATAATAACTTTAAAGAACTTGGTAAGAAACAACAAAATTTAAAGAGTATGTTCAAAACGGAAAAGTTGCAACTTTTCATAAAAGTCACAAGTTTTCATAAAAATCACAACTCTTCATGAAAATCGGAACTTTTCATTAAAGTCACAACTTTATTATAAAAGTCATAACTTTTCATAAAAGTCGCAATTTTTCATTTAAAGTAACAACTTTTCATTAAAGTCACAACTCTTCATAAAAGTCGCAACTCTTTATTTTCCATTCACACCTTTTAAAATCCAATAATGACAACAACGCCAAACTAAGTGTCATGCCACAAGTGGGTTTGAGAGAGGATAAGATTACACAAACATTATCCCTACCTTTGTGGGTATATAGAAATGTTGTTTCTGATAGACCATCGACTTAAAAGAAGTGTAATCAACACTCACAATGTACCCTAATTAAAAAGGTTGTTGGCATTTAAAACTAGAAGATAAAGGTAAGGAGTGGCCACCCAAACTTCACCAACTATAAATCCTACTACTATACAGATGACCAGAGTATAGTAAAAGAATCAAACTTTTTCGAAACCCCAAATTGCCAATCTGAGTAATCTATAGCCAATCTTTTTGAGACACCTTTTTTTTTTGTTTGCAGAAATGCCAGAAAACACAAATTATACACAGTAATATTATGAATCTAACAAAACAACATTTCTTAGACAACAAATCTAAGGAGAAATAACCACAAGCACAAATGAAAAGAAAAGGATAAAAAGAAGATACCCAAGTCAGAAAGTAAATTGACGATGAACCAACAAAGGATTTTCACAAATTTCCCGAATAACTTTTATACATAAACTATGAATGAAATATATGTCTTAGTTCTCTTTATCATTGAGAAACTAACTGAGACATGCATACAAGAAGTGTTGTAAATCTTACGGAAAATACCTTCTTGACGATTACTTGTACCGAATTCACCAAAGCTTGTACTTCACCAATAACTCTTATAGAAAATTCTAATAGCTTGAGGCGTGTCGAAAGACACTGTCCTTAAGGATATTTCACCCGGTATGGGTGTATCCCCCAGATTCAACAAGCTCTTCTAGTATAAAACTAGGAGCCAGAAACTAACAAAGATTCAATAGAAAGAAAACCAACATAAGAATATATTAAAAGAAAAATTATTATCTTGTATCCACTTTTACTCACCATCAGTAAGAATTAGATTTATATAGGAAATTAGTAACATATCTAATATGTCAACAGTTGAAATAGTCAAAAGCCATAAAAGGCATTGAACATAATTAATGAATTGAAGGCAACTCATTTCAGCAAAGAGACGTTTGGTAACGACCATATTATGACAGAAAATAATGACTAATTAAAGGATAATAATAATGGCAATAGAATATTATTTATGGAGAGAAAATATTTAGGACATAAAATAATATTCTCTTTCAAGTATAATAGAAAATAAAATAATTCATTTTGAGATACTAGAATCATTTTTCCAATAATCCCCTACATATCTCAAAAGAAATATTAAGGAATATAATGAAATAGAAGTCTTGCTATTTTCACATATGAGTCTAATGCATCGAATCTGGTATCCATAGACTAATGAACCAGACCTAGATAGAACAAGATTAAACTTACAGAACAATTGGTGAAGTTTAGAACTTCTATGAACCAATAATTCTTTTATAAGGCCAGTGTTTTATGCTAAGAGGCCATGCGCGTGTCCTGATATATTTCATGAGTGCTCTAGAAATCTGTCACAATTTCATAGAAGCGGCACCACTTCACACTCATATAGGTCCAATCATCAAGTGTATTCTGCAGAGCAATACACCACCTATAAAGGATATGACTTGGATTAAGAGCTTAACTCAGCCTCACTTTGCCTTGCAGACTGTTGCACTACA